GGCCTTTAAATGTGCGGGGGGGGGGGGGGGGGGATGAAAGGGCCTAATCACAAAAATGTTAACGGATAAAGCGTCATTGCAGTTATAACGGAATATAAAACCTAATATGCATTTTCAAGAAGCATCTGGCAGTAAAACCCCCTCAGCGTGCGGCGTCTCTGCGACATTTATTGACAGTGCAACGACTTCTATTACAAGGAATAAACGCATCGCGAGTGCGATATTTAAACACAATACCTACTATGATTGCGTTAACGGGTATCCAAAAAATCCTCACTGGTCTGCAGATGTCGAATAAATTCGGAAGAAATTGCGGATGTCGCCATATTGTTGCTGCTACCTTCCTTCAGTGTGCACCGTTACCCTGCATAATTGATGACTCCCAGCTAAATGATCTAATTTTCCTTCTATCCTGACAAGTGAAACACCCCCATAACAGGATATCACCACCTCCATGCTTTACTGTAGGAATGCTGTTATTTGGATGGTGAGCTGTGTTGGATTTCCGCTAGACATATCGTTTGGTGTTGAGGCCAAATAGTTCAATTTTAGTCTCATAAGTCATCAATTTAGTCATACATTCCGGTGTGCACCGTTACCCTGCATAATTGATGACTCCCAGCTAAATGTAAGGGAGTGTCGGTCAATAGGTAGCACCAGTTCCACAATTAGAGGAGTTCAGTTTAGTTTATTGGAATTTCAGGAAGATCCTTCTTCAAGAAGCCTATGAGGTGCTTCAGGAATGTTCGGGAATGACGATTTTGATGTTATGTAGCCTATAGTGCCTGAAGCAACAATCACACAGCCTTATGTGTAGAGTTTTAAAAAATATCTTGAAAACGCTATAAATAACAAACAGGTTGTTGGCTTGGTGTATTATCATGAGGGACAAACTCGCATAAAATTCATCTTAATGGATTTGTTTCTAATGGCAGTGTTTCTAAGGGATGACCTTCCTTTTTAGTGTCCTTTACAGTACTCTAAAAGGTCACAGAAATTGTGAGTATGTATTGTACGTACATTTTCGCTTTTGTCTGCATAAGTAAAGATTTGAAATGTGTTGATTTGCACGTTCTTCCCTGTCCAGGTCTTTTATGACATTACAGTACGATGTTACGTCACTTAGAATCTTTTCAGATGACCTAATAATCAGTTCCAAGGAGATCGGAGATCTGCTTTGTAGCTCCCTCTTACTGCTTTCACGTTTAAAATGTTTAAAACAGCCCTACAATTAGTCTTCATTAGCTCGTTATCCTCTGGAATTGCAGGTAGTTTCATTTTACAAAATATTATTATTATTATTAACCCATTTAATCACAAATTTCCCCATAGATGTGAATATGAGGATTTTACTATTGGAATATCCCAGTGAAACAAACTACATTGATTTTTGTAAAAGGCTTCAGAAAATTCTAGTGGAAAATGTATCTTCAGAGTTGCTGTAGGCCTCTTGGTAGCCTCTCTGACCAGTTTCATCCTGGCTCTCTCATCCAGTTTGGAGCGACGTCCTGATCCAGGGAGGGTTGTGTTGTACCAATTACCTTCCACTTCTTAATAATAGACTTCACTGTGCTTCTAGGCATGGATAAAGCCTTGCCACCCGTAGTTGATTGTTTGCTTCAGTTGCACTACCAAGGACTGAAATGCTCCAGGAAAGCTCTTTTCATGCTGAGCTAATCAAGATGCCCACAGCTAATCACAGATGAAAGTCAAATGGTGCGTCTCAATTAGCTCCCTAGCACGTGAATCAGTATATAGTGTACACGAATTCGGTCACTGGTAAGTTCCCTGGCTCACTGCACATTGGGACAGTGATTACTCAATTTCCGGTGACATGACTACATACAACGTCAACTGACAACATTATAGAACGTCACCGCTGGAATTAATCAACAACAGGCAGAACCAATCTCTTTTTGATATTACTTTTTATTCTCTTTAAACACATTGTTCTTTTACATGTTCTTACAACATTTCAGCCGAATATTAATTATAAATGTTAACTAGATGTGATCATTACCTGTCTAGGAATGTGTGTTTATGTTGAAATATACAAAAAAAAAAGGTTTGTCTTTTCAAATCTTCTATCGTGTATCATTATATTTATCGAGTTGGCTCGTGTGGTTTATGTTTCTTGCTTCAGAAATGTGACGGAATTTCCGGTAAGGTAGCATAGTGAGCACCGATGCGCCCTAGTTTTTGCGGTGCATTGTGGGATTTTTCAGGGAGCAAACGTTCCAGTGCACTGGAAGGATTTCGCGATTGAGACAGCCCTTAAAATGTCCGACTCCCTGATCAGTGCCCTGACTAGTGAACTAGGGAGCTGATTGAGACGCACCCCTCATGTGCCGTTGAGAAGGTGATTAGCAACACCTGATTGAGTTTACAAGTAATTTTTAGGAGTGGGGTGATCCTTTTTCAAACTTCTGTTTTTTTTGTTTTGTTTTTTTTTTCTCTGACATGTTGGTGTTATATCTTTCACTTGGAGTAAATACAGCTGGATAAAACAAAAACTGTGTCCATCTTAATTTCAGGCTGCAAAGCAACAAAATGTGATTATTTTAAAGGGGGGTGATTCTTTTCTATACCCACTGTATTTATTGCTTTTTAGATTAGCATTGGATGTAGACAACTTACTACATCAAACCTTTTTACTCAACAAGAAAATGCCTAAAACTTTTTCTACTTTCCAAAATAATACTTTTTATTTCAGATGTTTTGCATGCATTTTGAAATATGTCCCTTACATCTTTCTTTTATAGTAACAACTATAAACTATTAATAGTGGCAGGAGTGAATTCTAGATCCAGGCATGGAAAGGGTGTCCAGTATCGTTCAGTCCAGCAAGTGATCCGGCATGAGGAGTTCAACCAATCTAATTATGACAACGATTTGGCACTTTTGCATCTGCATCACCCTCTCTATTTCACAAAACATGTGCAGCCTGTATGCATAATGGAAAATGAAATGGATGAGAAACAACTAAGCTTCAGCTCATGTTACATCACTGGTTGGGGCAGCTCAGTGTTAGAAGGTTAGTGTTTAAATGTCCCAAAACTCAAAATCTCTATATTATTAACAGATGATTATTTAGCAGAATATGTAATGGACACTTTTCACACTTCCGGAGTTTTTAGAAATGGAAGTTATCATTGTTGGGTAAACTACTATTATGAACGGAGACTACAACAAATACATTTTTTGTGTTCCCATTTGCTCCAATATCAAAAGAAAAAAAAATCTATGACAGCATTTCTATGACTTTCCAAAAGAGGAAAAAATACTGCAAGATTGATTATGTTGGAAGAGAGAAATGTCAAATTTGCTGTCACTCCCTCAGCCATTGTAGAAACACTCATGCATCAGCTTTAATGAGTTTTCTGTAATTTAATGCCAAGGTCATATAACACAAAGTATAGTGTTATAAATATAAATTATTTAAAAAAAATGAAAAATAAAAACTTTGCTAGATTTACAATGTTAAAAACTGCAGAAATGTGTCATCACAGTCTGTGAAATGACTCCTTATATCAGAGAGGAGCTGTAATTTTTCCATCTTTCTGGCAGTTAAACTGTTATAGTATGTGGGTTATAATAGTATGTTAATAGTATGTGGGTTTATATAATCAGTTCTCTCCTTCCTCTTTGAGAGGAAAACCATGAACACACACATTTTACATGACAACAATATTTTTCCTTTAACAAAATTTGTATTTTTAACATTCATGGATGATTTAAGAATATTTCTTATGATCCTATTTAAGAAGAATATTTAAAGAAAGAATTACCTTGTTTTGAATTTATAATTATGCTTATTGATTTTTTTTTAAATCTGAAACTTTTTTTATAGGAATGTTATTTATCACTCTTCAGGAAGCTGAAGTTAATCTTATTGATACTGGAATCTGCAACCAGAGAAGCTGGTATAATGGCCATGTTAATGACAACATGATCTGCGCAGGATTTGACAAAGGAGGAGTTGACACATGTCAGGTAATGTTGTCTCTTTATATCACACTGCAGAGTAAGTGGTCTGTGAAAGACAGTGATTAACAATATCTGTTGGAATACTCTTCAATCAAGGGTGACAGCGGAGGCCCTCTACAGTGTTACAGCGAAGACATGCAGAGATTTTACCTTTATGGTGTGACAAGTCATGGAGAGGACTGTGCATTGCCAAACAAACCTGGCATATATACTCGTGCTAGCCGGTACACCGTCTGGCTGAGAAAAGCTGAAGCAAGGTCTGTATCTGCTGCCTCAGTCACAGATCTGCCAGTTTTTAAATTAATCTCAGCCCTGTTTTTCTCTGCCTGGATGGGCCTGCTAATGTGAGCCGACCCCATCAGACATCACAACAGCTCTCTGTGCTGCTTTCCAGTCATTTCAATAAAGCCTCTCTAACAACTGTTTGGCTTTATTTAATTATTGAATTAATAAAACAGAAATATTGAAAAAAGAAATGCAGTTATTTTTTTGCTGTTACTGTCCTAAATTCTGGTTTCTGAAATGGAAACCAACCGAGGACATTTAGGCTACTAAGTGGCCAGAACATAATTGAATTCTCACTTGTTATTATCTATGAATGAATAAATGGGGACAATACTTATTTTGTCATTAATAACTATCAAACTGACCCTAAATGGTGTTAGAACAATTCATCAAAAATGACACTATGAAAAATAGTAAATAGTAGGCTACAATCATTGTAAAAAGCAAACAGGTCAAAACTTTACAAAAACACATACAAACACTACAATTATTAAAACGTAAAGGTAAAACTGTATTTAACATTTTTTTACTATACGTGGTATTGTTAAGAAAGATGTGTGTGAAAATTACTGCGTTGCGACGGCGTAACTTTCGAGAATGTTTATAATTGTGTATGTTCAGACCCTGTGGTACATACAAACAATATGACCTTGAAACCGATAATGGTGTCCTTTTGGTTAGCCGATGATGATAGCGCTCTGCTCTCGACCATGCACCGGACACTGCTGCCACCTGCTTTTGATGGAAAGTAGCTAAAGAAAGACTGCTCGCTAAATGCAGCTCAAAAGCTAGAGCATGAAGTAATCAATGTAGTGTGCAGCCCCCTCTGTTGGTGAAAATAATTACTACACAATAGCTTGTTGATGGTCGGCCTTTTTAAAATAATTTAAGATCATTTAAGATTTCAAACAATTGAATACAACTATATTATATTAAAAATAAAAAAACATTTATTTTAAATATGTTTATAATAATTAAATGTTGTTATATGATCAACCAGTCGAACCATAACGAACCATAATTTGCGGGTGAGTAACTTAAAGTGAGTAAAATTAATTCACAGACAGCTCCGACGAATTCATACAATTCAGTAAAAAATAAACACATAAGAATCAATCGTTTGAATCAATCAATCACTAAAAAACAACCTGCTCATATGTAATCGTTGTACGTTTTTGATTCACTAAAAAATGGTCAGATCCAGCAGAAAATGTATCCAATTATGAAAAAGAAAAAATGCTTTTGGGTTTCCGGTTGCCGACAACACTGAACTACATTATCGGTAACGTACGTCATAGAATTCAAAATCTGACCGTTATCCGAACCGACAGTTTCTCACATTTCTCGTGTTATATAATACAGCAGTCGCGCACTCTGTCGCTCTAAATTAACTAAATGTCCCCGTCATGAAAATTCTCCTTTTCATGGGTGCCTTTGGGGTGGGGGATACTTTTTTTTATTTCGCCGCTATCGGTAGTCCGCCCGCAGAGCGTGAGTTAACAATAACTTTGTAAACAATGAGTTCAGTACACTACTTTCAGCGAATTTGCTAACTGTGTGTTTGTACCAATCTCCTAGATGCACAGTGCGGACACAGACACAGGCCTGAGAGAGTAGTTGCACATCGAGATAAACGGATGATCGGACATCAGAGGTGAGAACGTTAAAGTGAGTGTTTGGCCGTGGCAGGTGTCTGTACAGTAACGTTACCAGCCCAATTCTTCGGCCCTGTTCAGCCAGGTCTGCGGTGGAGCTATTATCCACCGATATTGGATAACAACAGCAGCTTCATGTGTAAATGTGCATCAACAAAGGTAGCGTTAATATGTACACTTTAATCCTAAACAGCAAGTATTTATCTGCACAGAGCCTCTGAGAATGTTGTTGCACTTCCTCCCATAGCAACCTTTTGTAGGTTGCTGCTTCAGTATTTGTAGATTATTTTTCCACGTTTCTATGGTATACTGAAAAACAATGATAAGCATATCATAAGTTTTAAAGGCTTTTATTGGCAAAAAATATGAGTAAATATTTACAGTGTTGACCCTTGTTCTTCATAACCTCTGCAATTCGCTCTGGCATGCTGGATATTAGCTGGATATTAGCTTCTGGGCCAAATCCTGACTGATGGCGATCCATTTTGCCTTATTAGTGCTCCGAGTTGATCACAACTTGACGTTTTTCTTGGAGAGAAGTGGCTTCTTTGCTGCTCTTCTTAACACCAGGCCGTTGTCCAAAAGTCTTGGCTGATTTCTGAAGGATCATGTGACACTGAAGACCGTGGCTGCTGAAAATTCAGCTTTGCGTCACAAGAATAAAGTACATTTTAAAATATATTAAAATAGAAAAATGGTTTTAAATTGTAATAATATTTCACAATATTAGTGTTTTTGCTTTGGTGAATATAAGAGATGTCCTTCAAAAACATTAACAAAATCTTAAAGACCCAAAACATTTTTAATACTAATTATCATAATGTTGTGATGCCAAAATTCACTTGTAGCATTTAAAATGGTTGATTTCAGTTTAAATTTTTTTTATAGTTTATTTTCGGAGTGAGTTAAGCCACTTATTATCTGAACTATTACTATATTATTTGATATATTTATTACATTATTTATAATAATATATTGTGCATGTGTGTTTATACCATAACATGCAGACAAATCTTGGTGGACCGCTGAACTGCTATATCAAAATTGAGGAATGCTACTATTTGATTGGAATTCGAGTGAAAGCCACTTCTTGTGGAAAACCTAACCGACCTAATGTTTATTTGAAGTCTACAGCCACTATTATTGGATTGAGCGTGAAATGAATAACAGCTCACATTAAATCTTATTTTGCTAATACATAATGATATTTTGTATATACAGTAGAGTGTGCATGTGTCATGATTCAGGGTTCCTACGGGGTTTGGAAAAGTATGGAATTTGACTGAAGTATTTTCCAGGTCTGGAAAAGTATGGAAAAATATTTGTTTCCAGACTTTTGCCCCATTTAGTTTTTTTCTAATAGAAAATTAAGAATTTAGTGAAAATACATTTATTGTACAAGAAGGGAGATTTCATGGCAGCTGTTTAGTGATTCTTTAGTGATTGTCAAATATGCATTTTTTGATTATGCAAAATGCAGGTTATACGCATTTTGGGTTTCTTCTCACAATTCTTAGCACTGTATTACATAGCCTCAAGGATCTTTGCAAAAATAAAAAATATACAGACTTTAATGTGTGCACGAGAAACCATTAAACTTGGCATATGCACACTGAGCTACCTGTTGTGCCATCAACCCATTTCGCGGTGTGGTGTCTTGGCCGCCACAAAGTATGCGTTAAAGAGACCTATGGCCTTGAAATATTGAATACTGCCCTAATGAAGGCCAAATTTTTAACATTTTTACAGTACCAGTCTTTTTTTTATAGACCCTTGAACTTGGCAAATATTGTCATCAGCCCATTTTGTGTCATGGTTTCTGTGCCGTCACAGAATGTGTTAAATTGGACATTATGCCTGAATATTAGAGGTAATACAATAAGGAAAGCCAAATTTTGAGCAAGTAGATCTCTGTTCATTTCAATTCATGTGCATCCATGCTCTCACTTTATTCATAGTGATGCACAAAGGAAATAGGTTATAGAAACTAGAAATTGTGAATAGTTTCTCGAGGGCATGCACACAAGAAAAAAGTTTCTTGTGTGCATGTAAAAGTCTGAATGTTTATTATTATTATTATTATTATTTTAGGGACTCTGTAGGTTGTCACTTCGAGAAAATCAATTTAAAAAAAAACCCTGAGAAAATACAAATATTTACAGATGACTGCTATATACCAAAAGCTGAAAATAATGCTCTGTGAACCATTTATGTTAAATATGGTCTGAAAATCTACTGAGAAGTTTGGAAATTTGAGTCTGGAAAAGTATGGAATTTTAAACTGGAAAATGGGTAGGAACCCTGATGATTGTATTGACATCAGATAACTAAAGTGATGAGAAAGAATCAGAGGATATAGTGACCTCTGGTGGACAAATCTGAATTTAGCCTGAAGCTTGCAAGAGGTTGTATCCTGATGATTTTATTTGATGATTCCTGGTTTGCTGTAATTGTTTGTCTTTCAAATGTCATGTAAATAATAGTGGATTATTCCTGAAAAAGTGTGTGTGGATTATTTGAGGCCATTAATAGAACGTCTTAATATGTCCCTGCATTTATACCTACAGTAAGCTTGCATAATGGATATCTTACACAACCTAAAAACCGCTCAAATAAACTAAATTAAATAGTTTCACTGATGTACGGTTTTGATAACCCTTTTGATAAATTTCTTATGCTTATGTTTCTTTCAATTAGGACAGGTTATGCATTTTTGGAACTGTTTGATCAAAGGCCTCAATGATCTAAGCTTTTTTCACTCAAAAACGGAAATGTTGAGCTCAGATTAATGAAGCCTATGACGAGTCAGTTCCAAAAACATTCATATCCTGTGCTAATTGAAAGAAAACAAGTTGACACAAAGGTTGAATCCATTATTTGGTCATAATATAGCATGAGAGATTTACAAGCAATTTTTTTTTTTGCACGCGGGTCATTTTTGACCAGGAACAACAAATTGTGGAAAGAGAATTTTCAGCACAGCACAGGCTTCTTAGGCTCATTCAGCAGTTTGTTATTTGCACATTGCTTAAACAAAATGACTATAATAAAGACAGTACAAGATTCAGTGATGACAATAAATTTAATTAAAATAAAACTGTAAATTTTGTACCAACACACTAAATATTTTGACAATTAAGAACTGAATTAAAAACACAAAAAAACAGTTATGAGAATGTGTGCATTGTTAAAGAAAGGAGCTGCACAGAATTTCACATGTAAACAATCTGCAGGAAGAAAATAAAATTTTGATTCCTAAGGCCATTTTGAAATAAACGTTAGGTGCTAATAAATGTTACTGTAATTTGATTAAGATAGAAAAGATATTTCCTCTCTTAGCTCACATTCTCTTTTTCCACAAGTCGGTTAAAACACTCTTTTTACCTTCTAGCACACTCTCTCTCACACACGCATCCAAAACACTCAAGAAAACATAGAATGGTTGTTC